AAGTTTAACTGCGTACTACTTTCAATTAGGAAGCTAGTTTATAAGAATTAACATTCTATAATAATAAGTTTCATTTTCCAGTTTAGTGGCAATGCTTAATAGAGTAGAATTATTCTTTTGAGGTGCCCCAATTAAGGGGACACTTTCCAGCCATAAAGCGAGAGGCCCAGCCATATTAAGGACACTTATTTCGCTTCTGAAGTTATCCCCTTAATAGTAGTAGTTTTCTAGCACCAACATTTTTTTTTGTTGGTTGAGTAAGTCTTAAGAGGTCTACAAAGAAACCACTTGAATAGATTACCATACTGTATTTCTATACCTGTCTCTTATACACATCTAGATGTGTATAAGAGACAGATGTTAGAGTAATTAATTCCTAAAGGTATCTTTTCCTTCTGTCATGATTCTACAGTTTTATTTTATAGAGTTATTTGGTTTTTTTTTTTTTTATCAATATTTATGTGTATTATTTTATTTCAGTATTTTCTTAGAATATATTGAAAAAAATACCTTGTGCAGTATGTTGTACATTTATCAGGGATCCTGCCGTAATGTAAAACATTAAAAATTTCTTGTACTTGAAAACAACCTTTACATTCCCAGAAAAGTCTTGGAAACACTTGTATTATCCTAAAATTGAAAAATCCCTATTTTGGAAACCATGTTTAAAAATCAGGTAAACAATTTTTTATGCCAAAATGTTGGTCCACCAGTCTGCGGTTCGAGCTCCCTACTTTGAGGTGGGGTTTGAATCTCTTGCTGTGAATTTCACTTGTTTTCTTGAGCTTGGGATACTATTACTGTATTAAATCTGTGTCTCTCTATATTGAAGTATAAATGGGTACCTGGTAGGATGTTGCACCATTAAATGTATTGGTCTGTACACAACATACTCTGACACGAGTAGAACTACTCCTCATGAAGTGGAGGAGTTTGTACATTGCGCATGTTTGTCAAATTGATTTATAGTTTGTCAAGGGTGATAACAAATTGCAAGAACTTTGACACAGTACTTTGATTTGTAAAAGCTGTATTACATAAATTCTAAACATTATACTGTAGATAAATATAACACAGCCAGGAATATAGTCTTTCTTTTTAATGGTATACTGTAAAAGTGATGAACATTTTATAAAATATAGAGAAAAGGTAATGGCACTTTGAAAAATGTTAAAGGAGAAGTGATATAAATTTGATAAAAATCAATATGTCATGGAAATTTGAAAAGTGGTAAATGGGAAAAAGTCAGAATTGTTTACAATTGAACATTGCGGAATCTCATTCAAACTGACCAATCAGAACAGTGCTAGGCTTCACATGTGCCCAACCAATGCATGTTTTGTCTCACAAATGCATGTGTTTATGTAAATTTATGCTATTGCTTTGTGGGACCATAGCAACAATATCCAAGGGGTGGGGCTTAGCGGAAAGGTCAATTGTAGTGGAACTCCAATAGAAGATAATTCTGTTGAAAATATGTGAACTTCAGAGTGTTGGATGTTACAGTAGAAAATGCGTACTGTACAATAAGTATTTCAGGTTTTGCGGAAAATACAATGTTAAAAGGTTTCCTCGGTTTTGCTTGTAAGAGCTCCTTATTATTTTACATAACATATTGCTTGAATATTTTCTCAAACCACATTCATTTTTTTTTGCACTTATGTCCTATTTTTAAAAACTTATATTTATTGTATTTTGTCTTGTTTTGTGAATAACTCAAAATACAGGTACATAGGTATTTTATTAATATTCATCTTTATATTCATATACTGTATATCAAGTTATTTAATTTTTCTCATAGCTTGTATTTCACAAAAACATTTTATTTCAACAAAACTAACAAAAAACATGTTACTATAGATGTTAGCATCCATTCTCATCATACTGTCCTGTGTTCTTATAATTCTTATACTTACGTACATAGGGCTTAAAGTCCTAGCATTTGAAGTACTACTGTATAGATACAAGCTGTATTCCTTTATCCTGTAGTTTTGTAGTGCATGGTCCATGAAATGCATTTATATAGATTATTTTTTTGTTGGTAATTTCACTTCTTTATGAGGTGATGGGTTCATCATTTAAAAGGCCCACCAAAAGTGCAAAATGATTTACTAAGGCTGACGTGATTTTATGCCAAACGCAACCTGGTGTTGGTCCACTCAGTCTGCTACAGATGGCATCGTGTCATGACAACCATTGTAGGACATAGTGTGTTCCCAGCTTATCTGGGTACAGTATGTCTAGTTTGATGTCCATATTATTTGAACATATATGTGTACTGTGAAATGTATGTAAAAATATGAATGCCTTAAGTTGTAGTTTGTATGTTGAATTGTATGAAATGAGAAAAAAAAAATAACTACAGCCTCTCAAATATTGTTGCCACTGCCCAACTTGTCTATACAGTTGAACTTTCCTAAGTCAAATCCAAAATGCATTGAAAAATTGTTCGACTTCGATAAAATTTGAATTACAGATTGTTTATAACACCACCTTAGAAATTATTCAAGGCAATTTTCGACTTAGGCAAGTTTAACTGCGTACTACTTTCAATTAGGAAGCTAGTTTATAAGAATTAACATTCTATAATAATAAGTTTCATTTTCCAGTTTAGTGGCAATGCTTAATAGAGTAGAATTATTCTTTTGAGGTGCCCCAATTAAGGGGACACTTTCCAGCCATAAAGCGAGAGGCCCAGCCATATTAAGGACACTTATTTTGCTTCTGAAGTTATCCCCTTAATAGTAGTAGTTTTCTAGCACCAACATTTTTTTTGTTGGTTGAGTAAGTCTTAAGAGGTCTACAAAGAAACCACTTGAATAAATTACCATACTGTATTTCTATACTGTACACCAATGTATTTCTAAGCACACTTGTGTAGGGATTTAAATCTTCTATCTCCATTGTAAAATATGCTGTGATTAAAATGCATTAACAAATCATGAATGTACATGGATGAAGGGCTGTTTTAGTTGTTTTGTAATCAAAATTCTTGAGGAATATGAAACTTTTTTTGAATAAATTTAAGATTCTGTAATTTGTTAAAATTGCCTATTCTTGAGTAAAATGCCTAAAGATAGTCACAACAAATATATGTGGCGAAGACAAGCCAAACCAGTCACTCGTCTCTATCGATTTTTAATTATTACTACAGGGTTAAACAGTAAAATGAGAGGTATAAAATGGTAAAAGAATCATTAAAATCCAACATTTCATTATAAAGTTACAGGAGTTTAAACATACAGCTGTTTAAAGAACAATATTTGAGAAATCAGCCTTCAAAGTTTATGATTTTTGGGCATTTCTCGGGCAGAAACCATCAAATCATTAAAAATTGTTGTTTAACATTGAAAATGAGGAAAATAACAGCATAGCATGATGTATAAATATATAAATGTTAGTTTAGTTCAATAAAATAGATTTCAAAAATGTTGACATTGCATCATGTTTTGGTCATAATCTTTGAAACAAGATTTGCGATGAGTGACTGGTTTGGCTTGTCTTTGCCACATATACAGGATATATACAGGTATATAACATGTGTACATACATTAATAAGTAATTATGACCACAGTAATTATATCGGATGTCTGTATTTGAATTCTCTTTGCTTAAATCTACAAAGATCAGTGTGTGTGTTTTTTCTGTTTCTACTGTATGGTTCGGTGAACAACCTTTTAAAGCAAACCCCCTGACAAAACAATTAAGCCCTTCCCTTCAAAGTGACAAAATACACCATTTACAGTACATGCTTTTACTCCTGGCCTTCCCATGAACCCCTGCACCAGCTCAGAAGTGTACTTCTTTCTATCCCTGTCTGAGACAATGAAACTACTCCTTTTGAGGAAATCCTGGCATTACGTCCCCAGAAGAAGCAAAGCAATGTGACCACGATCAGGCTTGGAATATTACAACCTTTTTGCTGGAAGCCTTACTGATGCACCGCACCAAGAACTACATATCCAACAGCAAATAACGCACATTATTATTTCATCGAAATTGCAGTTAAAACTGAATTGCAATTGATGTTAATCAAATAAAAAATTAAAAACATGTTTCCTTTAGAAGCTTTTGGTGCGGCAGTTGAGGCTCAGACTCTCAACTACGTGGATGCGGGTTCAAAACTCTCGCTGTGTGGGTCTCTTATGTCCTTGGGAAAGACACTTTATCTATGCTAGTCTCTCTTTACCCAGAAGTATAAGTGGATACCGGCATATGCTGGGAAGGTAAACAAAATCGCTGTTAGGAGTGGCGATCCCCTCAAAGAATTGCAGTCTGGCCCCAATGCTTACGAAAGAGGGATGGACACTCCAGACCTGTACAGGTTCAACTACCTTCACCTTTACCCTTCCTTTATAAACTAAGTCTCTGTATTCATCCAGAATATGGAGCTATTATTTTGTACTCATAGTTTCTGAACCCAGGACCTTGTTATTGAAAGCAAACATCATAGCCACAAAGCTATTCAACTCTACAATATTATCCGGGAAGCTCTGTATTTTTAATAAACTAAAAATTTGGCATCGTATTGCCATGAATGCAGAAGTACAAACTTTTACATTTAAAAAAAATTAATGTATACAGCTGAAAAAAAATTATTTCATTAAAAAAAAATCTTCAGTTATTAAGTGTCCAGGGGCGCTCCTCTGCTTGTGTTCTCTCATAAGATTTCATTGCTTTCTTTGGTGGTATTAAAGTCTTACTAAGTCCAGCTCTTCTCTTTCGTTTTTCCACATTCTCATTGTTACCATCCTTAGGAAACTCATATTCTATCCTTTCATTATATGAGCTGTTCATATTCTGTTTACTTGTTGTATCAGTACTTGCTTCAAGACTGTGGGAAAACCTGCATTTGTCCCCGAATCTGCACCTACCATTTCGGAAACTGTAACAAACATTCTTTTTGCCCTTTTTCAACTGTTCAGAGTTTGTCTCCATGTGGGTCATTTTTACATGTTTCTCCAAAATAGAAAATTGTTCATGTTCTGCCTCTTCAAAAGGATTTCGAAAAACTGATGAATTTGGAAGCTTTTTCATATCTGTACTTTCACTTTGATCCATAAACAATGGCAATGGAAGTCTCTCTGCTTGCTTCTTTGCGGCACTTTCTTTTTTAATTTGGCTACTTTCTGGTTCTGAATCTGTAGAATCGTCTACTGTTAACAAGTTCTTCGTAGTACTGAAATATATAGATGAAATGTATTTCATTTTTTAATTAATATGTTTAATTCAGATCCATAAACATCATGTAAATCATAGTAGGAAGGCAAAATTATTGCATAATAGTAAAATATTACATTAAAAAGTATACATTCATTAACAATATTAAAAGGAAAATAGAATTCATTAGAAAACTGAAGTAAAATATTAATATTCATTGGCATTTCCAGAGGTGGTGGTGAAACACAATAATAATAATAATAATCTACATCTGCCCCATCTACAGAATGTTATATTCCAGAGTAATGATAATAAACAAAAATCCATCGATATTAAAACAAAAATATATACTTCTGTCAACTTATCGATTCATCATATTTCCTAAAAAATGTGACGTTTCTGGCAGATGACTGGTTCCCTCACAACACAAGTTGTAACTACTACCTCAGTCCTTCAATTCAATTTTTATTCCAATCACCTCATCACTCTGAAATGAAATCTGTCCAGTCGAGGAGGTATAGTACTAAATACCTCTTTGCTTGGCCCAGTTGACCAGCTGGACCAGGTCCACTTTTGGGTATATGGGACCAATTAAACCACAATCAACCCTTCTATCTATCTAGGTCTAGGCTACCGGTGGATTTTCTGTAGGGCTAGGCTAGTCAGTAGTAGGCCTTGCCTTACAATATCGAAAAGAAAAACCAATTTAGGCCTAGTCTGGGCCTGGCGGCATTTTCAAGCCTAGCTGGGGCTGGGTCCTAGGCCCTACACTAGATACTAGGCCTAGCTAGGCCGAGACAACCTAGTAGTGTTACCTCTACCTTTCTTCATTGATTTGGTGCCTTGTGTTTTCGAATGTTTCTTCTTCATCAACTTCTGATTCAGAGTCTGTTCCATAGTTAGCAACAAGAGCCATGATGTAGAGCTTAGAGTTTGCCACAATCAAGTCTCTTATTTTTTATTATTTTTCTCATTCTGGACAGCGCCACCAACGAAAAAGTTAATTTAGAGACGGAATAATATAAGGCAAGGCTATACGCACAGCGGCTGTGTATATAAAGGACAGAACATATCTTATACGCACAGCGGCTGTGTATAATGGCCTTATAACGGATCTTATACGCACAGCGGCTGTGTATATAAGGTACAGAACTAATCTTTTAAGATTAGTTCTGTACCCTATATACACATTTAAAAATGTACAGCAGCTGTGTATATAATGGACTTCACGGATCTTATATGCACAGTGGCCGGCTGTGTATATAATTGACAGAACGGATCTTGTACGCACAGCGGCTGTGTATATAAAGAACAAGTTGAGTATTATATGCACAGTGGCTTATTTTATTGCTTTCTGTTAATTTGTTTGAAGCAACATATTTTATAGGATTATATATACCTGCTCTAGCTACTTATCTTTAAATAATTTATATTTTTTTCTTTTAAATTATTTATACTGTATTTACCTCTGAAAAGAGGCTGATAATTACAATGGATTAGAGAGTGGGTGCTACTAGTCTTTTTGCAATCTTTTTGTCCTATTGTTTAGTTCAGTGTTACTGTAATATGTTGATTGATCGCAAAAACAAAATGATTAAAGAATATAATAGACTTAAATAATAAATATAATATAATTATACCCTCCACATACATACATACATACATACATACATACATATATATATATATATATATATATATATATATAGTCCCGCCAGAGGCATTTTATTACACAATTTCTTTATTTGTTTATTTACAGGACTGCATTCGTTGAGGACTATGTTCCACGATGCATTATTAAGTCCTTTATTACAACACTGTATTTACCTTACTTTGATTATTTATATATGATTTAACAGTGTTAACGAC